GGTGTACTTGGCCCTGAGGGCTTTCCTACCACAGGTGCAAAAAAGCCACGTGCTAGTCCTCACCGACAACACCACAACCAAGGCGCATATCAACCGCCAAGGGGGCACTCACTCTCTTCGCCTTATGAGGGAGGCCGAGCATCTGTGTCGATGGTCAGAAACACATCTTCTATCCATCAGAGCGGAACACATTTCGGGAGCCTCCAACGTCCACGCGGATTGGCTTAGCAGGGCCGTGTTGGACCAAGTGGAATGGCGCCTTCATCCTCTTCTGTTCAAGGAGGCAGCGACCATCTTCGGCCGGCCTCTGGTAGACCTATTCGCTTCTCCGCACAACGCTCAGACACCGAGGTTTTTCTCCCGATATCCCACCAATGGAGCAGAGAATTACGATGCCCTGCATTGCCCTTGGCCTCCCGGTCTTCTGTATGCCTTTCCCCCTCTCCCGTTAATCCCCAAGGTGATTCGGAAACTGGTTCTAGAGAAGGCGGAGATTCTCCTGGTGGCACCGTATTGGCCCAGGAGACCGTGGTTCGCGGACCTTCGCGACCTGTCGGTGGCCCCTCCATGGAGGATTCCACGAGACAGAATCTCCCTGTCCCAAGGCCCTCTCCTCCACCCAGATCCACAGTGGCTTCAGTTAGCCGTTTGGAGGTTGAGCGGGAAAAACTAAAGGCAGAGGGTCTTTCGGCCCAGGTCATCACTACCATTATGGCAGCTAGGCGTCCTTCCACCACTCGCATTTATAATGCAACCTGGAACAGTTTTTCCAAATGGTGCCGTCAATCTTCTATCAATCCGCTCTCCCCTTCCGTTGCGCAGGTTCTGGCTTCCCTGCAAGATGGTCTGGACAAGGGTCTTTCCCCCAACACTCTGAGAAGGCAGGTCTCGGCTCTTTCAACGATGGTTTCTGGCGACTCGTCTGCACCACTCTCCCACCATCCTCGTATCAGGGCTTTTCTCAGGGGAGCTTCCAATCTGCGCCCCCCAATGGTTCATAGATACCCGACTTGGGACCTTAATAAGGTCTTGACGGCGTTGACCAAGTCTCCCCTCGAGCCTCTCAGGGAAACTTCGCTTCAGTATCTCACCCTTAAAGTGGTGTTCCTCGTGGCGATTACTTCAGCAAGAAGGATATCTGAAATTGCAGCTCTATCCGTCAGAAAAGACCTGTGCATTTTCTATCCTGACCGGGTGATTTTAAGGCCTGACCCTGTCTTTATGCCAAAGATTAATTCGGCCTTTCACAGAGCACAGGAATTGGTCCTGCCTAACTTTTGTCCGAAGCCTGTACGGGAGAAGGAACGGCAGTGGCACACCCTCGATGTGCGCAGAGCTCTCCGTATATACATCCATCGAACTCAGCCTATCAG